CACACACACACACACACACACACACACACACACACACCAATATATTCACACTCTTCCTCACACATCCTCACACATCCTCACTTCCACATACATCTGGCTTGGGCATCACGCGCAACTAAATCAAACTTCGTTCAGCCGCCTTATTGGAATCCTGTACTTGAAGAGCTGTGGCTACAGAAGAGAAGGTCAACAAGAGCATGGCATAGGGCGAGGAAATCGGATAAGGTATCAGACGAGGAGAAGAATACTCTCAGAGGGCGGATGAAAAAAGAAGGGCGGCTTTTCAGGGAAAGTGCAAATGAGGCCAAGCAGGAACGGTGGGAGCAGTACGTGACCGAGGTGTCATCAGAGAAGGCGCTACACACTACACAAGTTCTGGAAATTGCACAGAAAAAATGAAGGGAATAAGGACTGACGCTGGCTCTCTGTCTGTTAAAGATGAGAACGATAGGCTACTGGAGACAGATGAAGCAAAAGGCCGGGCTTTCCTTGAGGGGTACATCAAGCAGACTCACCAAGGCAACATGGAGGAGCGTGCTAACATCAGGGCATTTATGAAGACTGCTGTGCCAGAGGTGCAGTATGGAGAGGGTGTCACAATACAGGAAGTGAAACGGGTCATATGTGGAACGAAAGATAGTGCAGCAGGGCCTGATGGGGTGAGATACAACCATTTTAAGGATACAGATGAAAAAGATCTGTAGGGCATGGTGGAGGACTTCAACGAGAGTCTGGCCAAAGGCAAGATCCCAGAGGAGTGGCTACACAGCTACCTCATGCTTCTTCCTAAACCAGGCAAAGACCACTCCAACATCAAGGGATACAGAATCATCACAATGCAGAACACGTATGGAAAGATCCTGGAAAAGATTGTGGCCAAAAGGCTGGCAATTTACCTAGAGAGGAAGAAGCTCCCCCCAGACGGCCTTGGAAGCTACAGACCAGGGAAAGACACCTGCACAAACACGGCTGTGTTAGCCTTTGATGTATTTGAAGGGTTCCAGAGAAAGGAGGAGACAGCAATGGCTGCTATAGACCTAGAGGATGCTTACAACCGAGTTGATTACGGCAAGCTCATGGATCTCCTGATGGAAATGGATGTTGACCCCTGGTTGATACAATGGATCTCCGAAGCT